GCCAGCATCATAGAGATTAATTTGAAGCAGGGGTATCCCAGCTCCACCCCCCTCTTCCGGGTGTTCCCTCAAAGTGATCTCAAAAGTCACTTACACACACTTACGCATCAGTTTGCAATGACAACCCGTGCACTAGACTTGATGGTCCACAGTGCTTAAAGAAAAGTTAAAAAAAAAAGTCTCTAACATCTAAAAGTCAGAACTCATGCATTAAAAGTGTTAAATTAAAAAGAAAGTCAATGGAAATGACCTTTAATCGGTAAAAGCTTTATTTAATGGGATTAATGTTAAAACGAATCCATATAGTTTTGACAAGGCTTATGGAGCGCTTAATACGTGCAAGACATTATTTTCTGCGCTTTACAAGTATAACCTATTTGATTCTCAGAGCAATCCTGTGAGGGTACGATCGTTGCCTCACTTTATGGATAAAGAGACTGAGGAAAGAAATACAAATTCAGTAGGAAACATAGCTTTTCTTCATGCATTCCACAAATATTGGCTTGGCGCCCGGGAAAGCTCATCTTGCACTATGTGTACTTCCGGAGAAGTCCCAGAGGAACCCCTCCTCAAACCAGAGGAGTCAAGGGTTACAGCGGTGCCCTGTATCATCACTATTACTTCCCCTCCAGGTGCCCAAACTGACACCTAATTTGCAGGCATTTGCCCAATGCTGAATCTGAGACCAGGTCTGCACAAAGATCCAGGGAGTCTTCCCCTCTCAGGCAAACGCAGAATGAAGAACTAGTACCACAACGTGCTCGATGTCTGCAGATTTTCTTCACTGCTGGGGGAAAGCAGGGCTGCCCAATGTGTATGTATTTTTATCTCTCCAGGAATTCATTGAAGAGTTGTTATCACCTCCTTTTGGGGGTCTGGTGGCTTTTGTAAAGGAGGCTGAAGCTCTGATTGAGCGTGGACAGGCTGAGCGACTTCGAGGGGAAGAAGGTATGAGGATGGTGTAGTAGTGGTGGTATCAGTGGTAAGGTAAGTAGGAAGGAAAAATGATAGAAAGCAGATTACATGAGGTGGGGGCAGAGCAGGAAAACTTGGGTTAGGAGAATACCAGAAAAGAGGGATTTGATGGTGAGGATGGCAATGCCTTGGGGAGAATTTAGTGGGATCCAAGATCACTCAGCTACCTCCCTCTCTGACATTCTTTCCTTCTGCTATCCTTCTGCTATCAGCCCGGGTAACCCAGCTGATCCGTGGCTTTGGTAGTTCCTGGAAATCATCAGTGGAGTCACTAAGTCAGGATGTAATGCGGAGTTTCACCAACTTCAGAAATGGAACCAGTATTATCCAGGTGACCTTAACTCCCTGCCCTAGCTCCCATCCCCTATCTCTTACTATTTTGCTCCTTTTTTCTTTGGGCTCAGCATCATTTAAGTGACCCATGACCTTCAACTACTAGCTGTGCCCAAAGTTCTGGATGAGCCCTAACCTGATTCCTAATCATCATCACCACCACCTCAGTCTGATCCTGCCATGACTTTCTCTGACCAGGGAGCACTGACTCAGCTGATCCAGCTCTATCATCGCTTCCACCGGGTGCTATCTCAGCCCCAGCTCCGAGCCCTTCCTGCTCGGACTGAGCTCATCAACATTCACCATCTTATGGTGGAGCTCAAGAAGCATAAGCCCAACTTCTGATGTGCCGGTATACACCCTGAGATCTGCCAGTCCTTTCCATGGACTTCTATACCCCATCCCATACCTTTCTTCACCTGGGGTCCCCTTGCTGGTTCTTCCCTGCCTCCCAAGCCTTTGATATGCCTCAGCCTACCTGCATTCCCAGGACCCTACCTCAACAGAAATAGCTGGATCCCCTGGGCCTTCTGAATCTCCCAGTGTCTTCAGGTTTCCCAAGACCACTTCCCCCTGCTCTTCCAAAGTGACCTTTATCATTTTTCCAATTTTGTCACGCTCCTCTCCTGCTCCCACACACCCAAGGCTCATTTCTTCCCTCAGTAAAAACCTTCACTGCCTCACTCAACTCTTATCACCATGTCCTGAGGCATGAAGCCTCAGCTGTTGGAATGGTAGCAAGGGGTGACTGCCTCCAAGTCACTTGATTTTCTTTTTTTTTGCTCAAGGTGATTTTTTTCCCCTATAGCTTTTTGACCTAAAGTCTCAGTATCTTGAACACTAATTCATCCCTTCTGACCTGAGAATTATTCCAAGGTCCATCTGCAGAAAATAATAAATATTTAATATGACATAATAATACTCTTCTCCCATTTCCTTTCTCCTTTGTCCTTCAAGTGGCCCCAAGTCTTCTCCAAAGTCACCTTCCTTCTCTACTTCCTGGGTTTCCATCCCTTCTGATGAATACCCAGAAAAGGAGGATATGGTAACCTCTTAACCTCTAGCTACTTCAGGCCAGAGGTGGTAATTTTAGGGAGGAGACTTTTTCATAAGTATCAAGCCTGTTGGAGGAAAGTGGCCTCTGAATTAAGTGGCAGATGCTTCAAGGGTTTGGAACAGGCTGTGCAGCAGCCTGGAACACTGCCTTGGGGAAAGCCCAAGATGACTCCGGGATTGCATCCTCTCCCTCAGCTAAGGAGTGATAGCTCCTTAGCATCTCTGGTTTAAGCATCTCCTTGCTCAGGGATGGCCAGGTAAAGGAAAGAAACAAAACTGTGAAGAACCACGGTGCCTGCCTGTACAGCCCTCCTCAGTTGGAGCTTTAGTTGACTTTAGACCGCACAGCCTCTTGCTTGGAGGCCTGTAGCACCCACACCTACACTGTTGGGGCAGGAATAGACCAGGTTCGCCATCTATCCATCTTATCCATTTGTTTACCTGGAAGCTTTCCCGTCCCCCCTGCCACGCCATTTGAATTTAAGACCAGGAGAAACCGGCGCCTTTAGGTCCTAAGAGGAAAGCCTCTGTCAAGGGAAAATGGTAATTTTGGGATGTTTCCTGCATTCTCGTGGCCTAACCATTTCCTCCTCAAGTTCAGGGCGAGTGAAGGAAAGAAATCAGTTTCCACTTGCAGCTTAGGCTCTCCAGTTGCTGGCAGAGCACACTCGCGACGCAGTGGGAGGAGGTTTGTTTTGAGGTCCAGCTAGAGTGGTCCCGGCTGATAGGCTCTCCTGATTGGCTGCCGCGGGGAGGGGGCGTGGCAAGGCGGACGGATCTTGCATTCCGCGCTCTTCTTTCTTGGGGTTCCGCCCTTCTGAGAGCAGCGCTCTGATTGGCTTTGGAAACCGATCCTCGGCGTTTAGGCCTTGCGACTTATTTATCTATTTATTTATTTATTGACATAAGGCCTGGAGATGGCAACCATTTGGTCTTGCTGCTTGGTTCAGGAGGCCATGGCATTGGTCCAGAGCACAGCCCCTGGAGGAACACTACGGGTCCCCAGGGAAGCTGCTGGAAGAGGGGCCCGGTTGCTGTGGTGTCAGCACCGGTGTTGACCTCGTCCCGCTTTGCAGCTTTGAAGGTGTTTGCTCCAAAGGGCCAAGAGCAGAGAAAGGCGTGGGGGCAGAGAGGGGAGAGAGACCCCTGATTGGTCCAGACGCTTTGGGGGCTGGGCCAGGACTGTGTCCCTAACTGACCTTTCTCTGCCCACTGCCTTTTATCCCTTCCTCTTGGCTTAGTTTCAGGTTTACCCCGCTTGACTCTCCTCCGCCCGCACTTTTCCTGGGCCCTGCCCGGAGTAAAACAGTGGTGTGCTGGGCTCCGAGGGACCGCAAGCTCACCCCAGACTCTGGCCACAGTAATCCTCTTATAGTTCTGCACCCCTCTATTCCCTGTATTGATCTTGGAGTATCAAGATGTTTAGGGTAGACGGGAGAAGGGCCAAGGTTTGGGGATTTGATAAAGCGGGTGGGTTCCCCGAAAAAATGTTCCCTGATAACCCACGGGGGACACTGAGTAGGACAGGCAATTTCATCATAAGTCACCTAAAGCTCCGATGAGGGGGAGGGCTGTGCAGGCAGGCACCGTGGTTCTTCACAGTTTTGTTTTCTTTCCTTTCCCTCTCTATCTCAGAACCCAATATTCAGACTTGACTGTTACACGCGGGGTTTTGCAGATTTAACTGGGGGGCAGGGCTGAAATATGAGCTGTAGGGCTAAGGGACAGCTCGGAGGCTCGCGATAATGAAACCCGGCTATCATTTAAGTGAGTGCTGGAGCACGCAGTTTTCGGGGACATTTAATTTCCTCCGGGGTTCCTTAGGTACCCTCTGACTTGGGACAGGGTGATCCAGAACTGAGATGAAAAGGAGACCGAATAGCGTGAAAGGGAGCTGCGATACCCACACCAAACTCCAGGGGGCAGCATGAATCAGGAGATAGAGCTGTCCCTGAGGCTTTCAGTTACCCATAAAAGCGAAGCTTCCCTCTTGCCCTCTTTGCGCTGAAGCTTTTCCTTCAACCCCCAAATCCTCTGTTCTGTGGCTTACATGGAGCCTTGTGATCACCAGGCTGAAACTTATAATTTCTGGGCAACACCACCACCCCTCAAACTTCTCCCTCATTTGTTTTGTTGATCATGGACACAGTCTTATAGACCCAGACACATTTGGAATCACTTCGTAGGATAGAGCTGTGTCAGTATCCTTCCTTCGGCTAATCCCTGAGACCAGTGCCTGTATCTAGTACTTCGTGTCATATACGAAGGATTCGGAGGTGTCCTTATGGGCCGTATCGTCCCCCCAGTGCTATTCATGGGTCTCTGTTCTTTAAAGCAGTTTCATTTCCCCTATTTCTCTACCTTTGTGCCCTCACCTTACTCTATGTTGTTTCTTTACTGGGACTTCTGGAAAACATTTACTCAGTGTTCGACAGCACTGTCTCTGCATAACATGGGGGGAGGTGCCTACCTTAGCATCAATTTTAGACCTACTGAATGTGGACATGTGCCCTGAGGACAAGGAGGGGACATCCTTTTTTCTTCCCATCCTATAAATATGAACCCACCTACCCTCCACATAAGTAAGGTGGCTTTTCTAATTTTATGACATCAGTCATATAGGAAGCAGGCAAATTGACTACATTCCAAAATAAAGTAGTCCAACTTAGTGTAGAGATACAAGACCAAGACAAACCTTTGAGGAGAGAGAGAATAGAAATCAGCTCTCTTCATCCTGGGCGTAATGGACTTAGCTATTCATGTTATACACTAGAGTTAACAAATTATTTTTAGATCCAGTATTAATTAAGCCAACAAGTTTTATCGATGCTCTTCTCTGTGTTTTGTGATGGGCATTGTGAATTTAGCAGAGAATAATTCAAAGTCCCTGATCTCAGAGAGCATATATTTCGTCTCATTGAATTCACACACCAGCCCTGTGAGGTTTTCTTCCTATTTCAAGTAATGAGCTCAAAAACCATACACCGGCTCAGTGGCTTGATCCTTCTGTCCCCACATTCTCATTTTGTTCCATGACTCCAGAGTGGAAGTCTTTTTTTTTTTTGAGACAGAGTCTCAAGCTGTTGCCCTGGGTAGAGTGCCATAGCGTCACAGCTCACAGCAACCTCCAATTCTTGGGCTCAAGTGATTCTCTTGCCTCAGCCTCCCAAGTAGCTAGGACTACAGGTGCCCACCACAATGCCTAGCTACAGAGTAGAAGTCTTGGAGCTAAGGTGGCAGCCAGTTGTAGAAAAGCAACCAATTAATAAGTAAGAGATTATTGGAATGATATTTACAGAACTGAATAAAAAGCTGAACAGGTGGTACTTGGAAAGGACAGAAGCCAGGACAGTTCTAGAATCTGGGTAACAAGGTCCTTTTTTTTTTTGAGACAGAGCCTCAAGCTATCCCCCTGGGTAGAGTGCTATAGCATCACAGCTCACAGCAACCTCCAACTCCTGGGCTCAAGCGA